ACCAGTCCCATATTATCTACAAAAAAAAAAAAAGTAGTTGATTTCAAAGCTTGGTAAATCTAGAGTAAATACATTCTTATTTTGGATACCATAAAAGTTTCATACTTTCATGTTGAAAATTATTCCAAGAAAAAGCTCATGGAGTTTCTCTACCTTCTGTGCTTGAGTTTTGACCCCTATAGGCTACCTAGATCCAGGAGATACTTGGAGTTTATCGAAACTATATACCTGAGAACCTTCCAGTGTCTGTATTGAAAGCTGCAATGCCCAAAATGGGCTGGGAGGGGGGTAGGAAAGAGAGAGAGAGAGAAACTGGGGAGGAAAGAGAGAGAGAGAGAAACTGGGGACATTGGTGGTTGGAAATGCACACTGGTGAAGGAACACATGTTGGAACATTGTATGACTGAACCCCAACTTTGTACCTGTATCTCACTGTGATTCCATTAAAAAGTAAAGAATTTTTTTCTTTTGGGTCCCAGCATCCCCCCAGAATTTTTAAAAAATTTTTATTAGTGAAACATCATGAGGTACAGTTGTAGACTTACAAACTTTTGTGCTTGGGTTTCAGTTATACAATAATCAAGTACCCATTCCTCCACCAGTGCCCATTCTCTACCACCAATGATCTCAGTATCCCTCCCAACCCCCATCCCCCCCATCCCACCCTGCCTCTGTTGCAGGGATTCCCTTTTGTTCTCTCTCTCCTTTTGGGTGCTGTGGTTTGCAAAAGAGGCATTAAGAGGCAATCATGTTCAGTCTATAGTCTATTTTCAGCATGCATCTCCCATCCTGGGAGGATCCTCCCAACACCCTCTACTTGGTGTTCCCTTCTCTGTCTGAGCTGCCCTTTCCCCTAGCATATGCGCTGGCCTCCAAGCCATGGAGTGAACCTCCTAGTACTTATCTCATCTATTCTTGGGTGTTAGTCTCCTATTTTGTTACTTTATATTCCCCAGTTCTCCTCCGGGAGTCTCCTGCTCCCGTGACTGGCTGTCCTCACCGGGGCCCCTTGGAGGGGGTAGGGGTTGAATTTCTCTCCCCCCTCCCCGAGCAGAGCCCCAGCAGCTGAGGACCTCCTTAGCCAGCCACATCCATTCTGGGACCACCCACCACTCATCCGGACAGGCCTCATACATAAAAGAACTGGCAGAGGAACCCAAGCATGCGGGTCCCGGGGCTGATGTCTCTAAACCTACTCAGATTGGAACTGGCCCTCTCCACCTAGACCCCACCATCTTCCAGTCGGTAGGTGTCACATCCACCAGCTGCCGCCAGTGCCAGGTTGGTCCATCAACGGCCAAGGCACAGAGACTATAAAACCCAGCTCCCGGAAGCGCGCGGCCACACTCGCGGCTGCGTGACATCTTATTGTCTTATTTTTCCTTTGGAAAATCTGGCAGGCTACCAGAAGTATCCTGCCTGCACGGCAGAGTCTGGCAAACTTCCCGTGTCATAGTCAATATGCCAAATACCAGTAACAATGATGGGACTCATTCTCCTAATCCTGAAAGAGCATTAAAATGGCTCTTTTAAAATCTCAGGGCTAGGAAGAGGGAGACGTTACTGGTGCCTGCTCGAGGAAATCGATGAATAACAGGATGATCGTGATCATGATATTCCCCAGATGAATGCAATCTTTCTATGTCTGTCCCTCTCTTTCTGGCTTGTCTGCAGAGGGTGTGTGTGTGTGTGTGTGGTGGGGGGGAGAGAGGGTAACACACATAGTAGACATGGCCCAGTCATTGTTTGTGAATATGACTCAATATGATTAGCATGTCTTCATTTTCTTAAAAGCAACAATGTGCATATGGAATACACTAACTTTGCCCTCTACTTAGTGTTTAAAGGCTTATCATTCGCTATCTATTGTGAATATACTAGCTCATAGTCAAGTTGATCAGGGGTTGTATTTGAGTAGTTACAAAGACTGTCACTGTCACTGTCCTCCCATTGTTCATCAATTTCCTCGAGCGGGCCCAGTAACATCTCCATTGTGAGACTTGGATGTTACTGTGTTTGGCATATCGAATACATCACTGTTAGCTTGCCAGGCTCTGCCGTGCAGGTGAGATATTCTCAGTAGCTTCCTGGGCTCTCCGAGAGGGGAGGAGGAATCGAACTCGGGTCAGCCATGTTGGCTATGTGCAAGGCAAATGCCCTACCCGCTGTGCTATCACTCCAGTTACAAAGACTAAATAGAAAAATATATGAAGATCCCCATAGCTATTTGAATACAAATGTATTGCTCTATCATTTGGAATGGAAAATGTTATAAAAGTAATCAATAATTCTTAGTAATAACAGAAAATTATGAAATAAAAATGTTCAATTAAATGGATTCAAAATAATACCCAAGGCAAAAATGTAGCACTGTAGCACCATCCTCCCATTGTTCATCAATTTGCTCGAGTGGGCCCAGTAACATTGTTAGACTTGTTACTGTGTTTGGCATATCGAATACATCATGGGTAGGTTGCCACGGTTTGCCATGCAGGCAAGATACTCTTGGTAGCTTGCTAGGCTCTCGGAGAGCCTGACAAAGCAAAACTGTGCATATTTAATAGTATAGGTCTCATGGATAGTTGCAAATTATGAGTGAGAATCTCAAAATGTGGAGGCCAGAGTCATAGAACAGGGGGTAGGGCACTTGCCTTGTATATGGCTGACTTAGGTTCAGACCCTGGCATCCCATGTAGTCTCTTGAAAACCAACAGGGACTAATTCCGGAGTAAAAGGTTAGGAGTAACCTTTAAGCATGTTACTTGATATTTGGAATCAAATTTCAAAGAGTGCTCTTGAGATAAATATTTATAACAAGTCTGAGCATTCCAGAGTTGAATACTGTTTTGGTTGCCTTAATTAAAGAACAGAAATGCAAATATATTTGGGATTGAACTTTCTCAATATTATATTGTGAAAATGATGCATGTCAGGAGGGCCCAGACTATATCTCTTTGATTTAATTGTGTCATCTTGGTAAAAGCAATTCATCTTTTGATCTTTTTTGAATGTTAGTCTTCACAAATAAAATATGGGAATTTCATGATCTGTTTCTTAGGTCTTTAGTGAGGATTGAAGGAGATATGATTAAGGGAAATACCTTGTTCTGTACTAGTTAAATCTCATTCTGCCTGCTACTGATAAAGTTGACAATTACAAACAAAAAACAATTAAAATATCTTTGAGTATGTTCCCAATACTATCTCAGCACTGAAAATGTTTTTTAACATTTTAAATTTCAATGTTTAAATGTTATAAATTTAAGTTTAAATGTTATAAAATGTATTTATAACAATTTGTAAATAAAGTGATAAGTTCTAAGTTTCAGTTTCCTCTGGAATAAGGAAAAGAGAGAGAGAGGTGAGAGACAGAGAGACACAGAAAGAAAAGCGCTTAAATAACTAGGATATATGTGTTGCATGCAGGAGACCCAGGCTTGATCGACCCCTCCGACCCTTGCCCCCAGCATTAGAAGGTCTTTGAGAACCTCTTGGTATGATCGAACCCTCCCTTCACAAGTTAGGCAAAATAATTTGTTCATGATCTTGTTGGTAGTGGTAGTACGTAAAGCTAGGGATCCAGATGTTTGTTTAGTGCATCCTTTTATACTCTAGCAGCTGATATTCTGCTCATAGTCATGCTAGAAGAGACAAGGATATAATCACACCTTAAACCTATTTCTTCCAACAAATAGAGAACCCTATGCTTCCTCTCAGAATAAATGGATTAATTAATTAGAAGATAGTAAAAGAAACAGGATAGATGAGATACTTAAGACCTGTGGCTTGATTTTTTTTTTGGTGGGGGGGGGGTGGTTGAGGGTAGGGACGTGATGCTATGTTTCTTTAGTAAGATGGTTGGAATTCTACAGGACAATATTCATCCATCCAGTGTTAATCAAATTAGAATACTGGAGAGTAGCCACGATGGTTAACTAAATTCAAATCTTGTAGTACTGCCAGAGGGGTTAACCAACTGTAAATGTGTAACATGGCCATAATTATTTGATGTGTATTTTAGAAATACTTTTATATTTAATGACAAGAATCAGTATTCGATGGTTCTAGATATCTGAAATTGTCAAAAAAGATTAGTTTGATGTATCAAATGAAAATGTGTTGGATTTTTTTTCATATTTACAAGTCAGACACTTTACCCTCTTGGCTTCTTGATAAATTTTCAATGCCATAAAAACACAAAGAATTGGCCATTATGAATGCTTTCTGCATTAAATTATGAGACAAAAGGAATTGGATCATGAAAGTCAAATTAGATTGCATTTATGACAAATGTAAAACTATTACATAGCTCAAGTTGGAAATGCATTTTGGGACCAGATTTCTATGTTCACTTGCATGTAGTGTGTTTACATGTGTGTATGGAGATATAATTTCTCTAGGGACTTATGGATGATGCATTAAATTCTTCGTTATTGGAATGACCTGAAAAGATTAGAAGATTATTGTTATACTGATGAAAATGACAACATTAAAATTACTAAAGCTTATCTTTTCCAAAAAGATCCCAAGGTCAATTGTAATAAAATATTAAGTTTATAAAATATATGAATCCCTAATTCTAAAATGCCATGATTAAGGACAAGCTCAAAAATTTATTTGAAGCTGGATTTTTATGTTCACCATTACTATATGGCCAGGATAAACAGCTAAATCTTTGTTGCATATAGCCTTTTCCTTTTAGCATACTGAACTTTATCAATAAAATTAAGTTCTTTTCATCAAGAAGGTGCTTTTCAATTTTTTAGATGGCCTTACAAGCTAAGCTCAGCAAATGGTATTTAAAAATAACAATTTATTAATTTTTAAGCAAACACTTGCTATTCTTTCCTTATTGAGTGGTCAGATTTCATGAGCACCATGTTGAAAACAGTCTAAACCAAGTAAGGGAAGTTGAAACTGACACATGCTTTTAAGAAGAAAGTTGACTTGCATGTGAAATTGAATGCCCTCAATGCTGATGTTATTTTTTCCTTCCCCTAGGGAACCACAGTCAGATATCACGGGTACCTGTTGCTATTAAAGTGCTGGATGTCAATGACAACGCCCCTGAATTCGCATCCGAATATGAGGCATTTTTATGTGAAAATGGAAAACCCGGCCAAGTAAATATCTCCATGTTGTTAATGCTGAATATGTTTGTATACAACTGTCTCATATTTGATTAACCTCCATGATAGTGTGCATTTGCCTCATTTATGATCTGCAAAGTCACAGACAGTGAAATCTCTAAATGGGAACAGAGAGGGAGTAATTTTCTCCCTAAGATGTTAATTCTCTTCCTACTTATGACCAAATTGGCTCCTGAAGTGGAACAACCTGCTGTGCTGTGAACCTAGAGCCAAAAAAACTATTTTAAAATATCTGAGGATGTGAGTGATAGCAGGGGAGGACCGACTTTTTAACCTTCCGAAAGACAGGAGACAAAGGGGAAAGATCAGGGGGAGGGCACATTTGCTTCCTGTTGAATACAGAAGAACAATAATAGGACCTACCAGTTGTAGGAAGTGAATATTCAAATCTGTAAAAATGTAGATATATTTAGATAAACATAAGATGAGCAATATGCTTAAAGCATGCAAGTAAAGCATCTGATCGTTGTATATTAATGGAACTGTGTATGTGTGTGTTTTTTTAAACTTGTTTTATGTAGCATAGATAGATGCTAGACAAAAAAGAAAAAGAAAAAGAGAGAGATTCACAAAGGAAGGAAGGAAAGAGGGAAGGAAGGCAAGGCCAAAAGGGAAGGGAGAGAAGAGGTTCAGTAAGAGGGATGGGAGGAAAGTGGAAAAGAGGAGGAAAAGAACTAAATAAGCAAGAACAAAAACAAAACCTGCTATACTCTGAATGTCAAAATGGATATAGTCTGTGTAAAGTTCTCGGAAACACAAATGTAATAGTTTGATTTTAACAAGGTGCCAAAGTACTGTATGTTTAAGAAATTTATCGTTTTTCAACTTCCTAATTTATTTCTGGATGGTGACATTTTAATTTAAATAAACAGCAGCTGACAGCATGACACTGGAGTTGTTAATCCAACTATTCTTGTGCCTCATGTGGGTGTTAGGAATTAAACTTACTATTTGCTGAGCAGCTTACCTGACAAGTCAGATTTTTTTTTTTTACCCCTAAAGAAAGGACTAACACTACAGTTCAATACTTTTATTAGGAAAGATCACTCTGTTACCTTCTTATTAAACAATGGACATGTCCTTTTTAGAGTACTCTCATAGAACTGAAAGATTCACTGTTTCCCAGTAACACACACACACACACACACACACACACACACACACACACACACACACACACCACACACTGCTGATTAATTCCAAACAGTTGAGGTAGAATATATTTATTGTTAAAACTCTCTTAACAGCAATAACTATTTCTAAATTGTTCTACCATTAGTAAATTCTAGTATTATAAATATTTTTTCTAATTTTATCATATAAAATTCCCCTCTATCAATCTTTTGAGCATTTTCATTTGTGGCCATTTGATGAGGATGAAGTGTACGTGTGTGTTCATTCTTACTTAGACATATATTTCTACATAGAACATATCTGTCAATAAATAAGATTGGCCTAAGTAGGATCTCTGAGCTTGAATAAAATATATTTAAGTCAGTTTCAATAATGTGCTTGTGTGGGATGGAACATTGCTGGAATAATGTAGCAATTACAGACTTGGAAGCCAGACATTTATGAGCATACAGATTTGTCAGATGTTTTAGAATTTAAATTAATTCCATTGTCCATTAGAACCTCATCACACAAGGTCAGAGAATCTATGGCATTGAAACTGAAACTTCAACTTTAACTTCACTGTGCTATTGGCATGCGGGACTTTGGACCTATGAAAATCTCGAGGCTTATCTGGTGCATTCTATCTATTTATCAGATTTAAGTGATTTCTCAGTACATTTCTTGGGTGGGGTCTCATTTCATCACCTTTCCTATTTATGATCAAACAATGTTTAAGTTGATACTTTGTTATATTAGTTTTGCAGAATCCAAGTAATATTTACATTGTATATATTACATTGCATCATCTTATCAGCAAATAAACTGTGTGGTCCTATAGATTTTTACCAAATGAAATCAGATCTTAGAGTGCTCAGCATAATTTCTGGACATATGTTGGCTAGTCAAAGAACAAGCAGTTGTTGAAACAACTTCTGAATTCCTTGAATCCTTTGGGCTGATCTGAAGTCGTGTTTGATTCATTTTGTCATTCCTAGGTAACTTTTAATGACTCAACTATTTCATTTTTACATTGTAATTTTTTAAACATCCATACTTGTTAGTTATCTAAGTGGTGTCTACTTATGAAAATTGGCATAGAATATCACATAAAGGATGGTTTGTTTCTGGTCAGGGACATGGTTCAGCAGCAAAGCATTTACCTTGCACATGTGAGGCCCTGGGCTCAGATCTTAGTACTGCTCCCTCCCACACTTCCCGTTACCTTTCCCCTTAAGTGTCCAAAATATAAAATAGGTTGGGGCTGGGCAGATGGTCCAAAGGGCTGCAGTGCATACCGTGTTCTGGGTTTGAGCCTAAGTAGCCCATTGGATCTGTCCACTCACAAAAACATGGGCTGACTCACTATGAATTTATAACATTTTTATCAGGAAACATTCATGAAAAACAAAACTCAAAATCTTAATCAGCAATAAACTCATAGTTGTCTTAATATTTTCCCTCAATTCCTGTATGCTCACTACAGTTTCAGAAGAAGGTATGAAGATAACTAAAATGTCTGGTTGCCTGGAAGAAATGGGCTTAAGGCTGAGGAGATTTAAAGGGATCAACTTCTTGGGAATTGATTCAACTAGAAATTATTAGTAATTATCCAGGGCAACCCTTAAAAAAAATAAAGTCTGTATGAAATTTCTGGACTGAGAGAGTTAGTAAAGAGAGAGACCTTCCGAGGCACATAATTTCTATTCATGATATAGCTATGTTAAAATTGGCCCATCACCTTCTCACGATGTTGAAGCAAAAGACGGTGTTCCTCTGTAACATATCTGTTCCCTTAAAATACTAGTTTTCACCATTAAGTGAGAAAAATAGTTTATCGTTCATATTATACAAAACCAACTCAAACCCCTTTATATTATAATTCTTTCTCATATCCCTACTCTTTCACAATGAAACAATAAAACAATGTTTTTTTTCCACAAGAAAACAATGACATTTTCTGATTGCTACTTATATTTTAGAAATATAAACTTTTGTTTGCTTGGATCACACTCCGCAGTGCTCAGGGTTTTTATGTGACTCTGTGCTCATGTATCACTCCTGTTGGGGCTTTGGGGACCCTAGGGGGTGTAGGGAATCAGACTTCAGTCTCTGCATGCAAGGCAAGCACATTCCTGCCATACTCTCATTCCAGACCCTATTTTTAAACTTTTTATCCAGCAGTTTTAAGTAATTTACTTGTCAGAAATTATAAAATGGTATGCATTTTTAGTCTGCACTTCAAGAATGGCCAATATCTATAGATTACTTGACCCTCAGTAAAACAGGATGAATAAAAAAATTCTTTTCACTTACTCCACTCTGATGACTAATGAATGAAAAGTCTGGATTTTCAAAATTACAACAAAATATGTGATAAACATTTAATATGTCCAATAAGATAATAGGTTTTGTGTTAGTCAATGAGTATATATGGAGCCAAGCTATATTACATGATTTTTCTTTGCAGTAGGGACATATTGTGAACAAACAATACTTTAAAAATCAGTCTCTTTTTCCCAGGGAGTTGTTTGTCTTTCTGGAAAATATACAGTAAACTGAAATATTATATAATTGCAGGGAAATCTGGTCAGAGAGGAGACTAAAGAAATAAGAGGAGGTTATCTTAGTAAGGGGGAATCATCTTAATGAAAGGAATTTCTTTGTAGAGGAAATTTTTCACCACCAAAGATAGAAAGCATCCCTCAATTACTGAAAATGATTCAGATGAGCATAAGGCAGGCTCTGCCTGAAGAGAATATTAACCAGGCTGGAAGGGTGAGGGGTGCCAGCCGTGGAAGAGCCAATCTCTGTCTTTATTGTTATGGTAACACAACACTCAGAATCCACTATGGAAGAGGCATAGTGTGTGTCAGTGACCAGTGTTGGCTTGGAGATCTTCCATAACTCTTCTAGATCTGATCTCACCAGTAAGGTTTTGCCTGGTTGTGTTTTAGATACTTAACCCCTTACTTATCATGCATTCAGAATTAAAGGAATTTGCTAAAAGGGTTCACAACACAGTGGCTGAATTGAAATTACTGTATTTCTAGTGACTCAAAACCTCTTGTTTAGTTCGAGGCTATTTATCTTTTGAGAATTAGGTGACAGATTAATTTAGCTCACCCTCACATTTCAAGAAAGAGCTTCCCCTGATACTATAAAAAAAAATCTAGTGAAGTCTATTTTAAGCATGTTTACTATCTATAGAAGTTGAAATTTGCATCATTTTGCCATCAAATTAATTACGTCTGCATTAGGAAAAAACACACTATCTTGCTTACTCCTAATTTTCTAGGCCAATACTTGACAATGTATACAATGTGATTCTCATGGATCTTTCACAGGTATCTGCACCCACCAAAGATAATAGCCTATATGTCTAAATATGCACTCAGAGAATGCTTGACATGCAATAGACATTCACAAAACTTTAGAATCATGATCCTAATTCATTTTCTTCAGCAGTGGCAAATATTTCATATAATTAGTTTCTCAGATTACCATGGAAACACTTGTTTTACTCATGGACGCAGAGTGTACATGCTCCTCTTAAGATGGAAAATAATTTATGTATTAAATGATATCTATTTTTGCATCTAAAAGGTGCTAAGTATTCTAGTCTAACCTGGGCACACAATTTGAAAAAGACTAAACCCCAGTTCTTTCTTTTGTTGTTCTTACTGTTTTGCTTTGCTTTGGGCCCACACTCAGCGATGCTCAGGGGTTGCTCCCAGATCTGCATTCAGGAATCACTTGTGGGAGTGCTCAGGGAGGATGTGGAATGCCAGGGATCAAACACAAGCCGGCTGTGTGCAAGGCAAGTGCCTTACCCACTATAGTACCTCTCCAGTTCCTAA